CCCGCCAGGCCCCCGTTCAGTCCCCAGGGGATGTCGGAGCTGCCTGCCCACAGCACAGGTCTGGCCGCAGGTGACAACTCACCTATCGTCTGTCCCCAATGCATGCCTGGACGCTTGGTCGTCCAAATACAGCCCCGTGGGGCGGATGAGGAGCTTGGCATGCGTTGGGACGGCCGACCTCTGGTCACGAGCCACGGCCATGTCTCGCCAGCCCAAAGCTCCTGCTTGGGGCTCTCGCGGGGGCCCCTGGCCTTTCCCAGCTGAGTCGATGGGACTCGAGGGTCCCCCTTGACTCAGTCACTCCCTCCGGTGAAATAACTGCCAGCCCTGGGGACGTGGCCTTGGCTGGCGCCTGCACGACGGGGCTCTGGTATGGAGAGGTCCCAGCTTACCTCCCTGCCGAAATAAACCCCAGCGCGTGCGCCCAGTCTCTCCTTCACCTAGCCTGGACCCCAGCACCCTTGGTCCTTGGAGCGAGGCCAAGCCAAATGCCCTGCAGTGCCGTGCACCCGCAGGGAGCTCAGCCAGGGGCCTGCCTGGGGTTTGCAGCAGGCTCCAGCACCGTGCTGCAGTCGCCCACGCTCCCCGGCACGGAGGAACGGGTTTGCACGCTGAGTTTTGTGTCATGTCATGCGTGCAGCTCTTGACGCTGCGGGTGTTAAAAGCATACGTGGGTTCAGAGGGAGACTGCAAAAGTCTACGGACCAAAAAAAAATCCACTGAGCGTTCTCCTCTCATGATGCAAAGCCATGCAGTCGCCCCTGCCGTAGAAATGGTTGCAGTGGCCTCTAGAAAACCATCTGGCCGCGAAGCAGCAGGGTGGTGGGATGGGCAGAGGCTCCGCTGCCCCCGTCCCCTGCGGGGCCACGGAGCAGAGGCGAGCGGGGCGTGCAGGGTCGGTCCTGCCGGCAGCTGCATCACCAGGGGCCTTGGCGGGAGACAGCCGTGACGGAGCTGCGTGCCTGCCAGCTCCACTGGCCTCCGGGCTGGCAGCCCTGGGGCTGGCCTTC